GTTGTGCCTGCCTCTCTCTCTCTCTCCCTCTGTGTGTGTGTGCGTGTGCCGTCGCAGTCTCCAAGGGGAGTCGCATTGCTGCACTGCCCTGGGACTACGCGTGTTCCGCCAACTACCGGACCGTTGAGTCTCCCTCGCGCACACACACACACACACGCAGCACGCTCTTTCCCTCCTTCTCTCCCCCTCCATTTCGGCCCTCTCCCTCACACGCGCGCGCGCACACGGATACGTGTACAGAGGCATATGTAGATATGTATGCGGCGTTTTTGCACGCACTTATTTCGGCGTGCCTCCACCCTCCTCCATTTCCTTCCCTCTTCATAATTTAAATGTTTATTGTAAAAAAAGAAAACGAACAAAAAACAGAAGGAAGCACACAAACGAAAAAAAAAAATGAAAAGAAGCAAAAAAGAAAAGAAATGAAGGAGAGAATAAACTTCCTTCACCCCTTTTGTGTCTGCTTCTCTTTGTTTTTTTTTTCGTTCTGTTGTTGTGTGTGTGTGTTGTTTTTTTTAGACGGTGATGCAAAAGAAGAAGCGGAAAGGCACAAAACAGCAACGACCTCGACAGCAGCGGCAGACGCGTGTGTGGGTGTGTGTGGAGGCAGAAGACCCACCTGAGCAGCCGCCAGATGCACCCCAATAAGTAAAGTACAAAACGTCCTTCCAGACGTCCTACTGCCCCTTCCATAGAGTGCGGCTGCCGCTCCGCTCCGCCACGCACACACACACACAGACGCCCTCCTTCTTTCTCTCGCTCGCCCGCTTTGGTACCGAGTTGTGTCCAGCCACGCATGCACGCACGCTTACGCGTCTGTCGTGTCTTTGCCTATTTCCTCCTTTTTTTTATTTTGTTTAGTTTTTTCTTCTTCTTTTCGGATTCCACGACTTCTTCCTTCGCACTTGTCTGCTGCTTTTCCCTGCAGTCTCTTTAGCGCCTCTCCCTCCTGCTCCGCCCGTTGCTTCAGCGGTGGCGGTGGCGGTGGCGGTTACGGCAGTCGCAGATGCGGCTCCCGTGGTTATCTGCGCTGTTGGAATCCGCCGTCGTTTAGGCGTGCGCGCTTGTACGGCGCCCCGCCCCCGCCGCCGGTGTTGTAGTTATTATTGCTGTTGTAGTTATCCCCGTCACCCGGCTGCGGGCGCTTCTGCTGCAGCCTCGCACCCCCGCCGCGCGCGTTGCCGGACTGCCCGTACGTCACCCCCTCCTCAAACTGACGCAGTCGCGCCTCCACCTTGCTGCGGTACTCCAGCGCCGGCGCGTTGTCGCCCTCACCGAAGGAGTCGATACGAGCACTAAGGGAAGTCTTCGCCGCCAGCACGCGGGACATCGTCCCCTTATTCGGGGCGGCAGCCTTCGCCACGACCTGGGCGTTGTACAAGATGCCATACTTGGGGGTGGCCTGTCGCTGCTTCAGGGCGCGGAAGAGGGCCTTTTCGGCGCCAAGAATCTGCACCGTGGAGGAGGGGTACTTTGCAAGTGACAGGAGTGAGCCGGCCTTCTGAATCAGCCGGGCGCCAATCTGCTCACCCACCATCGTGGTGAGATTCGGGGCGATGGTTTGCATGCGGGAGCTAAGATAGGCGGAGAGCGTCTCGCGGTACTTCGTGGCCGCCACCACCTCGCTACAGAGGCGACAAATGTTTTCAATGTCTTCCTCAGCAATCTCTGTGCCCATGGACACCATCGCCGCGTCCTTCACCTTCTGCTCCAACTCCTCATCCAGGAAGTCGGAGAAGTCCGTGTCGCGCACGTTAAAGCGCGTCTTGGTGGCCAACACAATCTTGGCGTACAGCAGGTTGTCGTTGACGATCTTTGCCAGCTCGGGGAAGTGCCACCCGTACCACTCCCGGGCCCGCATAGCGTACTTGTTGATCTCCTTGTCCAGGTCCTCGAGCAGCGCCACCGCCTGCACCACCATCATGTCCACCTTGTCCGGGGAAAACTTCAGCTTGTAGCGGTTCAAGTTGTGCGCCAGGCCCAGCGCCGTCTGGTTGAGCTGCTCCGCCGAGACCTCCTGCAGCAGTGCCTCGAGGTTGGCGCGCAGCGCGCGGAAGGTGGCGAGGGTGTCGTCGCCGTGAATGCAGGGGATAGCCAGCGTCTCCTTGATGGCCTTCGCCAGCTTGGAGTCGGCGACAGCGAGCTCCTCCGTGATCTCCTTCTCCACCAGGTTCTTCTTGAGAAACCTGCGCACCGGCTTGGAGAGCTCCCCGTTCACCACCTGCGTCGTCGTCGCCAGCGCGTCGGCGGTGCTCTTGAACTGCAGCATCGCCTTCAGCCGCCGCTTCTCGCCGTCCACCTTGAAAAGGGCGACACCGGCAGGGAGCTCCAGCAGGGCGTAGACCATCGTTGCGTGTGCGTGTTTTTTTTTATCTTTGCTTCGCTTCGCGTGAGGGTAACGTTGGGTGTGATTCCACCTCTTTTTTTTCTTCGCTTCTCTCCCGTTGGGTCCCGTGCGTTTGCTCGCCGTCCCGAGGAGTGGGGGTGGAGCGCGAGAGAAGGAGTAGGAAAAGAGCCTCAGCGGCCGCCGCAAAGCGTTGATTCCCACACACACACACACACCCGCAGATATGCATATGAACACACAGATGTATTACACACACACACACACACACAAGTCGAGGGAGGGAGTGACGGGAGCAGAAATGGACACAAACAATATTTATCCACGCAGAGACTGCGGGACGGAGGGGGAGGGGTTGACGGAGAGATCGATAAGTAAGTAAGTAAACAACACAGACATAAATACAGACAGCAGCGGCAGCAGCAGCGAGGGCGGGAAAGAGCGAGTGGAGGTGCGCAGCTCGGCGTTCACGTGACGTGGCCCGCAAGGTCCGTTGTTGATGCATCGCCTCGCAGCGCACCGAGGCACGCCCAGAGAGAGAACAGTAGAAGAAGACAAAAACAAAAAAAGCCACAACAACTAATCATCGCAGTAATAAAGGCAGAAGGAACTTCACGTCTCATGCGTCCCGGATGGCGCCTTCGGCGATGCCACGGCACATCTCGCGCAAGTCGCCCTCAAGGACGTCCGCGACAATCTCCTGCACGCTGAGGATGAACGGTCGGAGATCGTCCGTCACGCGGTTCTCGAGCGGGGTGATCATCGTGGCCTTGAGGCGCTTCAGCGACGGCTGCACGTGCTCGTCGCGGAAAAAGTGCACCGCCGTCTCGTAGAGCAGGGCGGCGAGGGACTCCTGCGCCGTCGTGCGGGCGTCGCCCTCGACAAGGTCGCGAACCTCGCGCAGCACGGCATCCCACGGCCGCCGAATTTTATCGCGCTCAAAGAGCGTCTCAAAGGTGAAGACGCCGTTGGCGATGACGCGGCGCAGCGGCATGACTACGCCCTCCTCCACCGCCCGCCACTCAAAGACGCGGTCGTTGAACTCCCACTTCATGGCGGCGATGGGCTCGCGCAGCTGCCACAGGCTCCGCTCCGCCTCGTAGCACTCCCCAATGGAGTTATACAGCGAGGCAAGGAACATGCGGTCAGCCCTAGGCTCGTAGCAGACTTTGCCCTGCGACACGCACGCCACGTATATCCTCGGCAAGGTGGCGTACACCCCGCAGAGCCTTGTCGCCACTTTGGCTGCAAGCTTCCTCAACGGCACCTCCACCTGCGCCGCCAGAAAGGACCTGGTCTCACCGCTCATGTAGTTGTGCACCTCCTCCCGAAGCGGCTCCTCAAAGGCGTTTAACTGCTCCATGTTGTCCCGCACACTCGCCTCCACCATCATTCTACGGCTGCACGTTTTCCCCTGCGTTGCGTGCCATTTCCCCCAGACAAATTTTCGCAACAACTCATCGGAGGCCGCGGTAAACAAATGCAGCCGTGACATGCGATCCTTCCAAGAGCTTCCGGACATCTTCAGCAGAAACTTTGGAACAACTTGAGCATCAACCAGCTCCGTAATGGCGTCCTGCAGAATTGCCGTCTCGACCCCGCTGAACTCAAGCGAGTCTGGCAGCCCGCACATCACACGGGCGCGGCGCAGTGCCTCGATAAACGCCCTCTGATGGACCTTGTCCTTCGTCGCAAGGCGCTCCGTGAGCCAGTGGGTCCGGTTGAAGACGCCACACCACACCTCGTAGCGGTCCTTCATGGGAAACTGCAGATGGATGCTGCCGCGCCGCGGATGGTACAACTCCACCGTCAGCTCCGGGTACGTCTCAGGCGGTGGTACTTCGGCGCGGACGACGGAGCAGGCGGCGGCTAATCGATCCAACCGCTCCTCCGTCGCCTGCGTGGCGTTGCAGTTCACCGCGACGCTGCCCAAGTTAATGGTCCCTAGCGGCTGCTTTTGCTCCAGGTAGTCGTTGCGGGAGCAGTAGTAGTCCAGCAGGAAGTCGCCGCGGACGACGAAGAAGCGGGGCCTCCAGCGCTTCCAGTGCTTACTCAGCTTGGCGGCCATGAACTGGTCCCGGTCGTTGACCTGCGCAGGGACCTCCGGGGCGCGGTACAACCTCCACGCCGCCGTGCCCCCGTTTCGGGCCTCGGACTCGTGCTGCATCGCCCTCCGCACCCGTTGGACCATAAACCACATGTAGAGCTTCTCGTACTCGCGGCCGAAGGCGTCAAGGAAGACGCTCGCGAGCTCCCGCGTGTCGCTCAGCTCCGCACTGAAGGAGGACCCCATGCTGCAGCCCGGCGCCACGCAATGGGGGCTCGCCGTTTCAAAAAAAAAAAAAAATTCGTGCAGCCCCGCCTCTTTTGCGCGCTGCTGGCGTCGCCGGTCCGTCGCTGCCCTGCCTACCTGCTGCGTGTGTGTGTGTGGGTGGGGGGGGGCGATGTGAGGATGAGAAGAAGGAAGGAAAAAAAATAAGTTGGGGAACTAACGGCATGAGCCCCCTACCCCCCAAAACAAATAAAAAAAAACAGCAACAACAACAACCGCAAGAAAAACATCTCCGCGACAGGTGCGGCGAGAGCCAAAGGCAAGTATTCCCGCCTAGGCGCAGCCATGCGCACGCCGCGACGAGAGACCGCGCGAGAGATGTCAGACGAATAAACGGCGCCCACCTCAACCGCAGAAACAACAACAACAAAAGGCGACGCGAGTGCCGCTGCGGCCCAAAGTAACCACCAGAAAGGGCGCGACAAACACGACACGCACGCACGCACGCATGCACACGCATGTGTGAATCAATACTCCCCCCACAAGTAG